GCGTCAAGTGCACGGCCTCGCTTCTTGTCAGCAACACCAGGGCAGCCTGCAACGAGGACTTGCTCATGCGCGAGGGAGTCACCTTCTGCATTAATGTCAGCAAGCAGCAGCCGTTCCCCAGCCTCCAGCAGGTCCGGGGCATACGTGTACCTGTGTTTGATGACCCAGCTGAAGACCTGTATCGGTATTTTGAAGAGTGCAGTGATGCCATAGAAGAGGCTGTGCAGAGCGGTGGAAGTGCTTAGTTTACTGTAAAAATGGCCGCAGCCGATCAGCTGCTATTTGCACCGCTTATCTGATGAGACACCGAAAACTCTCCCTCAAGGATGCCTTTGAGGTATTGTACTTGTACACAGATTTATATTTAGACCTCTTTTGGGCAAGAAATGCAATGCTTGTTATGAGTAATGATGATTTCTTATAGAGTTATTTTGGTGCTGTCACCTGTATATTAGCAGCTACGTAGATATTCAACATTTGAATAAAAATTCCACTGTAAGTTTTTTTCACTCCCAACTTGGACAAATAAGCTTTTGGTGTGAGGTTTCTGGGACAAGTGTAAGTACAAATGCAAATAGGCTTTAAACACTGGTGGCAAATGTGTGAAGGTGGTTGGTTTGTGAACATTTTGCTTACCATTTGCTTAGTGGTGATAAGTAAAGTTAGAGACATAAAGAAAATGAATGAAATGGATACAAGTGTGCACGGAAGTTGTTTTGCAGGATTTGCCTGTATCACCCGTGTGACAGCTCAACACAGCAAGGAAACATCATCTGTTGGGCCTGCTGAATAGCCAGGGACTAGCTAGCTACGAGCTGTGGATGTTGTCTACCTTGACTTCAGCAAGGCTTTTGACACTGTCTCCCATCACATCCTCATGGGTAAGCTTAGGAAGCGTGGGCTAGCTCTCCAGCAGTCCCTTCCAGCCCCTATCATTCTGTGATTCTGTCATTCAACTTTATCAGGAAGCCCATCCAGTACATAGGACTCACGCTTTACGATATTATAGTCTTCACCCATTTGGTAGATCTATCACTTAAGTCTCTACTTTAGACAACTGTTTTGCTCAATACAAGGCAGAGGCATGCAGATACGTGACCAAGTTTCATGCTATCTAAACATGAGTGGTGTCACCACGCTTTGTGAGAGACACTCACATTTCCAGCAAAAATTCAGCAGCTCCTTTTCATGTCTTTCCCATGAATCCATTCTGTAACAGGAACCACATGCCAGGAGATCTCAGCAAGCATAGACTGAAGTGAGCTCACCAAAATAGCTGTTTATTATTCCGTAGCCAAGTCAAAAATCAAAGTAAGTCTTCTCAAAAGTCTAAGAGGAAAAAAAATCAGTTTGCTTGATACCTGCCCTTGCTCCTACAATGTCTCTCCTTTTTCCTAGACTGTGAAGACTGCCAGACCAGTAGCAGAACCCAATGCAGGATTTTGGTCCCAGCTGCAGAGATATGAAGAAGATTTGCAGATATCAAAGCAGTCTGATCTGCTGAGCAGAGGACTTAAAAATAGCAATGTGTGAAGACATTTTTAAAGAGAGTTAAGTGGCTTGCTATAGATTTAAAAAAAAAAAAAAAATTACTTCATGTATCACCTACACATAAAATGCCGTACTCCCCAGACTGAGTTGATATAGTTCATTAAATTCGCTCAGAGCATTACCATTGAAGGTGCATGGGGAAGGGGCAGGTAAGCGGGGGGGAAATAGCAGAAGCAGAAAATGATTGGAAGGACTGTGAACTAACAGAGAAAGTCATGGCATCTTCACCATTTATTTTTCCCCTGAATGACAATGAGCACGATAACAATGTATTGAACAAATAGGTGAGTTACCACACAGGGATTTCACTCTTGTATTTTAATTGAACTTGCCAGTGATGTCACTGATGCCAGAAGAACTGATGCCAGACCAAGGAAGTTCTGAATTTCTATATCTCCCTTACTGGAACATAATTCATGTTTATGAGCTGACACAACCTTTGGTGGGAAACCAACACTGCATCTGCTTAGTTTCTGCCTGACTTCTGTGTTTTCCTCACGTTCAACTAGCCTGAAATACCATCATAAAATCACCTAAAAATCCAGAGGACAGAATATACAGATGATGGTAAGGAGTTCAGCTCCCACCATGCAAGTTAACTACCTTTTCAGCTTTTGAAATTATTCTCCAAAATACCAAAGCGAAGATTTTAAAAACAATAGTTGATAGTGGAAGGAGGAAGATGACATTGGCAACCTAAACCCATCCTAACTCCTTTCAGCTTTACTTGCTAAGCCTAACAAGAGCTATCAGTGCCCAATTCGTGCCTTAATGTGTCAGTTTACGTGTCAGCCCATATCTGCATGCAATCAACATGGCTAAATCGTTTCTGCTAAGACTGTTTGCAGACTTAGCAGACTGTGAAATTATCTATTGGGACATCAAGGAAGCTGCGCAAGACTTCTAATACCAGATTACAATTTTTATCATAACATATTAAAAGCAGAGAGAAACACCAAGGTATTTTTGTCAAACTGTATCAATGCATTTGTAATTTAAAAGTGACAGGTTATGAAACCTGTGAACCTGCAGTGTGAAATTCCATTCCATGTTGCTCAAAGCATCAATATGAAGTAAAGTTAGCTCATCATCTGCGTAAGTGCTTACACAATGTAAACATATGCTCCCAGCAGTGGAGTCATTCAAGGCAGAAATTCTAATGATGGAAAAATGATGGAGAATAAAGCCACTGGGGTATTACATGAATTAGACAATTCAGATGCAGTAAAAGTTCCCAAAGTTAAAAATTGCTCAGAGTTAAAACAGGATTGTTTTAAAAGCTGAAAACATACAAATAAAAATAAAAAATTGGGCATTTTCACACCAGATGCTTTCTCCACTCCCAGCTGTGTTTGGTTCATGCTGTATCACTCAGCTCTGGTATGTGCATTACAACCAACAAGAAAGTTGTACATCTGTGGATTTGGAGGTGAGTGGTTGTTAGGGAATTTTTTTTATAGCTTTTCTAAATCTTGACTGTCATAAATAATATGAATTTCAATCTAACATGAGGCTTTAAGCCCACAGTATATAGACTATATCCTTATTAATGGCCAGGATACCATTCATCAAAAAATCTATTTTAGTCAGTCTGTGGAATAAAGTTTATTTCCTGTCAAAAGCTAAAGCTGCTGAACAAAAGTAGGAAGCTAAACATTAATGAAAATACAATACATTTCTAACTGTGAGGCATATTAACTTGCAGTCAGCTACAGCATATCATTTCCGCGTTTTTGAGTCAGCTGAAATAGAAACAGTTGCTCTTGATTGTCAGGATACACTGCACTCTGTGGTTAAATTTTACCAGGCTTCTCAGCATGCAGAAAACCTTCATGGTGCAGGATTTCACATCACAACGTTGTCCGTAGAAATCTATTTATGTTTGAAAACCATTCCTATTTACACTGAAAACCATACCTCCTCCTTGTACTGCTCCAAATTAAGATGAAAGATCACAACTTGGAAGCGGAGCCCTGGAAGTAGTTCACTTCTTTATTCGAGTTCATAACCTACTAATGTTACAAGTGATGTAAAAAGTAAGTTTAGACATACTCTTTGTTGCTTATGACTGTCTCAGAGTTTTTGGTGTAAATGTGCTGCTGATGCGCTGCCTGGCCTGCTGAATATGCGTATTTGTTGCAACTGTAAATTAAGAGAAAAGAGATACAAAATAACAGGTATTACACACCCGTCCACAGTTTCAGACACTGAGGAAGTAACTCATTCAGGTCTGCTTCCAACCCACATACTTCACAAAGGTGCAGAAATTAGAGGCCTATTGTTCTCATCAGTCTTATAGCTAAGGGGAAAGAGATGGACTTTTTGTCAGGCAACACAGCCATCGCTCTCTTGAAGCCAGAAACACACTCTGGATTCCTAACTCTTCCTTGAGGCATTTTAGTCAAGTCTCTAAATCAGAAGAGAACCTAGACCTTAATGCTTTTGTGCAAGCTGCAGTTTTTAATACAGTAATCAAGATGATGAGAAATGAAAACAGCATTATCTTCAGCCAGCCCCTTCAGCTGTCATTCATCATGTTGAACTTCTGTGTCATACATCAGTTTTACCTGATTTTCAAGATATTTCGGGATATTTAGTACTTTGTATCGAAGTGTGGTGAGCAAGATCTAAAGTCCAATGTGGCTGATAAAATATTACCATAAAACTTAAATGGCTTCAGATTAGGCAATGGAGTTTCAGAGGAACACTCTCAGGTATAGTGTGTTTTGGCATAACTTCCCTAAGATTAAACACAGCAGCAGTGAGCATGCTTCTTCCTTCTATGTTATCATCCTCTTAAGCTTAGCCAGTACAGCCTCCAAGCCATTTGGGTTCTTCTGGGTAGACATGGACCTCTGCTGTTTCTGACAATTTCGTCCCTCTCCTTCAGAAATGCAGGACCTTCTGCATGTGTGAATAATTTAAGATAGAAAAAAAGATCCAGGAGGCCAAAAATCTCAACTTTTCTGATTTGATGCACAACAAGACATTTCCATAAGGAACAAGAAAAAAATCATATGCGTCTAATGATCAATCGGATATGCTTTGGGAAGGAAATGCCATTACATTTTCTGCAAATTAAACGGCATTTGAATATTTCGATAGTAGTGAGTATTGCAGAGAAACTTGCTTATAATACACTGTATTCTTTGATATGCTTTTCTTTTGGCAATAAGTAGTTCACTCTTTCACTGAACATTTTCATCATGTAGATCTCAGAACCCTCAGCAGTACCCAGAATTACCAAAAACCAGTTATATGTGGCAGCGGATGGCAAAGTATCAACAAGTACACTACCTGGGATGTACAAGTGTTTGATACAGCACCCCCTGCCTTCACAAACAAGTCTGTGGCATGCCATAGCACTGAATTAATAGGTACAGTTTCCTGTTTCTACTTTATATGAGTACTGATTTATAGCAGGGGGTGAGAAAGAGAGAACAGTATGCAGACAGAAAATGGCATATAACTGACAGCTACTATTTCAACTGATAAATCCAAGATTACCTGTAATCCTGTTTTTTCTTCCCTTTGCACGAACAGGCCAGTAAGATCCCACCAAGCATATAAAGAACAGATCCAGCCCAGCCTAAGTACAGAGCATCTCCTAGTTCATACCTGAAACACGGAAGATTTTATAGAAACAGCATGTAACAGAATCAAAAAGCCATTCTTTTAGACTCAGCGATAAGGTGCACAAATTACACAAGCAAAAAAATCCCAGTCTGCATAGAAAGCAGATAACAGAAAGGTACTTCAGCAGACAACAGAGGAGACTAGATCTGGCTTTCTGTCTGTTCAGTAAAACTCTTACATGTGTATCTAAGTGCTCTGCCAAATTAGTGACAGTACAGACAGTACTAAGCAACATAAAGATAAGTAGCAATAAATACTTGCGTCTATTTAATAAATTGTTGATAATAAATGATAATAATATTGCTTCTGTGCAGTCCACAACACTTGTTTTGCCCTTATACTGGCTGTGCCACTGAAGTAATTTTGTGAAACTGAATGATTCGGACATTACTGTCTGTGTCATGAGAAAAGGCTAATCTTAGAAATCAGTTTTCTATGGACACAACACTAGATCACCTACAGGTAGCTCTTTGTATAGGACTAGTTTTCAAACTTATGTATCCTAAAACATATTCAGCACTCTCTGTGATTATAGGACTGAAATACATTTATGAATAGTCCCAGGTTGAAAAATAATAGCTCCCCATTTTACTGTACAAAACTACACTTTTCAGGAAACACCCTTGTCCCATCCAAGAAATTCACTGGTAATGAATTTGACTCAAAGACTAGACACCATTGACCCTGGGAAAGTCTGGCAGGAGTTTCACAAAAAAAGGAAAACAACTTTTTGTGTTCAGACAAAGACTATACCCACAATATGGCTGTACCTCTGTAGTCTGAGGTACCTAACATAAAGGCAAAATAAGTGTCATGAACTGTGTAGAAGGTATACTGAAGCCGGATATGTGTGTTTTCTTTCTACTTGTGAACACAAAATCATTATTTAAAAGTGTCGAGGTTTCTGACTGCAGAAATAATGGCTAACAGGAAGGTTTCAGAAGTTTATACAGGTTCACTGCTCTCCATGTTCTCGTTGCACGTTGGAGCCGCAAGGTCTTCACTGCTTTAGGTGCTTTCCAAACATGGAACAAGGAGACAACAATTATCTCAAAAAAACAGGAGAACAAGTTGCTGGAGGAATACTAAGGAACAATCAGAGAGTGTTGGCCAGTGCATGCAATCATCTCTGCTCCCTCAGGAATGCTGTAGGTGTCATACCAAAGGAAAGTGTATAGGAGGGATCTGCAGGATAACAGGCTGCCTTCACAGCTGTGTGAGGAAATCCTCTAAGAATTAGTAGAGGTTAACTTTACTAATTTGCAGAAGTCAGGACAGAAAAAGGCAATCTGAAAAACCAGATTTGCCAGTCTCTTCAGAGTGAAGATCAATACTGGCCTGCAATT